AATCTTTGCACCCTCTGTCGACCCTCCGAAAAGCGAAATAGTATTTAATGAAACTAAGGCTATTGTATTTCGCTTTTATAAGACACGTTATATAAGGGTCATGACTGATTTTAAATTACAACATTAGCAAATTGACATTACATTGTATTATTTTCTATCACTTCTCTAAAAAATTGATGAGTCTACACTTTTCTGCACAGATAATCCCACTAAGACAATGTTCATGCACCAAACTGACTTTGTTTTACACTCAAACAAACGCTTACTCAATGCAAGTCACACATATGATTTTTTTTAAACCTCGCATTCGCCTCGGTTGACTATGGTATTTTTTTGTGTTATAACTGATCTGTCCAGACTTTGCAAATACACAATATGTACCTATCTACAACTAGATACTAATTTTCACAAAATACACAACCTTTTAGATACAAAATTAAAAACAGTTTCAGTGCTTGAATTTTGTTTTTTTCAAAGATAGAAAAATATTGAAATAGTTTGATAAACTGGTGTTTTATAGTTTAGAAAATAATTTTGTAATATACTGAAGTGAAAAAGTATAAACAATATGAAAGTTTATGGATTTGAAAAGGTCAAGGCCACCTCTTCTTTTGCTATGTCATAAATGGCAAAAAATCAGAAGGTTCCAAATCAACGCCATTTTGTAATGGCAGCTCTTCATATAAGTAGTCAAATTTGTCGTTTTATCATCGTTTGTAGCTTATGATTGAACCGTTTTTGTAGCATTCCATTGACTATATATCAGAAAATTTCTCCTTTTTGTCCTTGTAGTTGAAATATTGATATTTTTAGGTCTGATCTTTGACCTCAATTTTACAAAAATGTGACCACTCTGGATTTTTACGACCAAACTTTTCTTATTGTACACGTTTTCCTCTTTCCATCGATATATGATTTAGGTGTGTGTTCTTCCGGAACATTAAAGTTTAAAAAAATGAACTCTGGTTGCAGTACTATAAGGCTAACAAGAGTTGAGCTATTTCTTAACAAACCTTAGAAACCGACATAATCACACAAATTAACTTTGATCACTGAACCATGAATATGAGGTCCAGAGCAAGTGAACTATTTCATATAGTCTGTACCCTTTATAGTGATTCTTATAACACACCAATATAGTTGATCTTTTACTTAGAGTCCTTGAGAAACTGATATTATCACAAAAACTTACTTGATAAATGAACCATTAAATTTAGGTTAAGGTCAGATGAACCCTGGCAGATAGACATGTATGCCTTACATAGACAAAATATAGTCCATCCTTTTATTTAAAGTAAAAAAGTCTACAGAATTGTAAAAAACCTTTAGTTTTTTATTTAGTCACTTAATCATGAAAATGAAGTCAAGGTTGGTGACCAAAACTTTGTACCTATTTTCATACGCCTGTTTACAGGACGTATTATGTTATACCGTTGTCTGCCAGTTCATCCGTCTGTCCGTCCGTCGTCAACATGTTGTACACTAACTCAATAATGCTTTAACCAATTTGCATGAAACTTTGTTGAATTGTTTATATCTATTGACATGAGCTCCTTTTAGATTTTTATAAATTTTAGATTTTACGTTTTCGAGTTATGGGGTTTTATTCATTAAAAAAGGGTGATTTTCCAGTTTTTGGACAATAACTCTAAAAGGTTTTGAACAGTTTTCATGAAACTTTGGTGAATTGTTTATATCTATTGACATAAGCTCATTATTGATTTTTATAAATTTTAGATTTTACGTTTCTGAGTTATGGGATTTATTCATAAAAAAGGGGGATTTTCCAGTTTTAGGACAATAACTCCAAAATGCTTCAAGTATTTTTCATGAAACTTTTGTGACTGGTTTATATTTATTAAAATAACCTCCCTTTAGTTTTTATAAATTTCTGATATGACATTGAGGAGTTATGGAACTTTATTCTTTGAAAAAGCGACGGGACGGTATCATGCGCTCATGGTGCAGCTCTTTATTCACATGTAAGTCTGCTTGTTGAATGTGATCGATCAAAAAATTAACAAACATTAAAAATACTTATGCATATAGCCAACATTGTAAGGGCGACTCAAGTCATCTATCACAGGTAACACTAGCCTCATATCCAAATACCTTATGTAATGCAAAATTTTACATGAATCTTCACAATTGGTAGTTTCATATCAATAAACTCTTTTAAAGTTTGATTTTAAAAGTATCTTATATATAAAATATGGGGATGTGGTATGATTGCCAATAAGACAAATATATACAAGAGACCAAAGGATGAGGATGTAAACAAAAATTCGTAAGGGTTCCGCGGAACCTGGTGTCTCGCCTACTTTTGCTGTTAATCGCAGGCTCAACAAAAATGAGGAAAAAAATCAATAAAAATGAGGAAAAAAATCAATAAAAATATTCCTTTAGATACTATCTTTTGATTGTAAGAAGCTTCTGTCAAAGTTTGGTATAAATCCAGGATAGTTTATGAATCTAATAAATGTTTTAAAAACTTTAACTGCAGACTGTATTTAATGTTAACTGGAAGAAAAACTAAGTCCATTTATAAGTAAAATATGGATAAACAGGTACAAATTTTAACAAAATTTCCTTCTAAATACTATCTTTCGATCATAAACAAGCTTCTGTCCAAGTTTGGTACAAATCCAGGATAGTTTAAGAAAGTTATTAAAATTTTAAAAACTTTAACCACAGAGTGAATATTTGTGGACGCCGCCGCCGCCGCCGACGACTCCGACGGAATGTAGGATCGCTATGTCTCGCTTTTTCGACTAAAGTCGAAGGCTCAACAAATATAGGTCACCATACAGCCTTCAACAATGAGTAAAACCCATGCCTTATTGAAAACATAGAAAGGCTGTGGAATGACAAAATGTGAAACAATTCAAACCAGAACAAGAGTGCACACACTGAAATGTCTCGCCTTCTTTACTTATCATTGATATCATGTTGATAGTCTTAAATATAAAGCTTTACTACAACTATCACATAAACTTAACATGATCCAAGAAAATGAGGTCAAGGTCGTATAAACCAAACAAGAAATACATGTACACTTCACAATCATTCAATACACTAAATATCATAATATAGTTGACCAATTGCTTATAGTTTGAACTTTCTAAGAAACAGACTTAACCATGAAAACTAAACATTGATCAATGAAACATGAAAATGAGGTCAAGGTCAGATGAACCATGCCAGGTAGACATGTACAGCTTACATTTCTTCCATACAACAAATATAGTTGACCTATTGCTTATAGTTTAAGAAAAACAGACCAAAACACAAAACTTAACACTGAGCAATGAACCGTAAAAATAAGGTCAAGGTCAAATAAAACCTGCGAGACCGACATGTACATCATAAAATGTTTCTATGCACCAAATATAGTTGACCTATTGCATATAGTATTAGAAAAAAAGACCAAAACACAAAAATTAACTTTAACCACTGAACCATGAAAATGAGGTCAAGGTCAGATGACACCTGTCGGCTAGATATGTACACCTTACAATCATTCCATACACCAAATATAGTAGACCTATTGCATACAGCATAAGAAAAACAGACCAAAACACAAAAATATAACTATAACCACCGAACCATGAAAATGAGGTCAAGGTCAGATGACACCTGCCAGTTGGACATGTACACCTTACAGTCCTTCCATACACCAAATATACTATACCTATTGCTTATAGTATCTGAGATATGGACTTAACCACCAAAACTTAACCTTGTTTACTGATCCATGAAATGAGGTCGAGGTCCAGTGAATACTGTCTGACAGGCATAAGGACCTTGCAAGGTACGCACATACTAAATATATTTATCCTATTACTCATAATAAGAGAGAAATTAACATTACAAAAAATCTTAACTTTTATTTCAAGTAGTCACTGAACCATGAAAATGAGGTCAAGGACCATGGACATGTGACAGACAGAAACTTCGTAACATGAAGCATCTATATACAAAGTATGAAGAATCCAGGTCTACCACCTTCTAAAATATAAAGCTTTTAAGAAGTGAGCTAATGCCGCCGCCGGATCAATATCCCTATGTCGAGCTTTCTGCGACAAAAGTCGCAGGCCCGACAAAAGTCGCAGGCCCGACAAAAACTACAGCCTGATTTATGCAAAACACAATAAATGAAAAACAAATAAATATTGCAGAAAGCGTTACCAATGACAACCACTGAATTATTGGCCAGGCAGCTAAAGAATGTGGTAGGGTTAATCATATTTGTAACCACTCAACACTGGTATATACCTGGGACAGTGGTGTGACAGCACAACATAAGAACCTGAAAAAATCTGTTAGAAAGGGCTTGGATCATCATATTGATAGAGCAAAAAAAACTAACAAAAACACAAAAACACAAAGTATAATCTTAGAGTACTGAAAGTTACTGAAAGCTAGATAAAAGCTTCTTTCAATTAATAAATAAACCATGTTTTCCAAGACTATGACTTATAGACTTCCTAATCAATATTTTAGTCATTTTTTTCCTTTTTACTAATGGTTGCAGCTTTGTTTGATAGTGGTATGGGATATCAACCATACTTCCTATACATATGATTATGGAAGTATAATTTGTATAAACTTTGGTAGCAATTATTAGTTCACATGATTCTTTCGATCAAATTTCAGCTTCAGGGGGCCTTGGTGGCTGAGTGGTTTAAGTAGTTCAACTACTTATCACTAGCCTGTCAAAAGGTTGTGTGTTCAACTCCAATCTTAATTGACTAGGATTGTCAGTTTTCCTACCCAAGGTCGGTGGTTTTTTTTTGGTGACACCAGCTTCTTCCACCAATGAAAAATGGCTGCCACAAAATAGCCAACAGTGCTAAAAAAAGGTGTTAAACACCAAGCAATCAATCGATCAAATTTCAAGTTTTTACTAATGATGATGGTTGCTGGGGGTCATTAACCATTACTATTAAAGGGGATCATATTATTTTCTGTACTTATAGTAGATTTACTGAAATATGTACTGTAATTTCAACAATTTATTCAAAACATTTTTTTTTTTATTAAAAATAATAACGAAATACACAATGATGTATCAATAAAGTCTTTTCACACAGTAAACTCCTCCTTCTGGACACTGTGTAGCTGCTGTGGCTGCTATTTACCTTTTTTCGCTCCTTTCTGAGGCTAAAAGTAGAAAAGAAAACAATTAATTTTTTCGGAAATATATATATACCTAGATGCTTTCAACAAAAATAATCCTTACTGCATATAACTTTGAAATAAATAAAATATATACGAATCAGATACCAAAGTGAACTTTTTTTCTTCTAATGGTAGTGACGGCCAGCCTCCCGTTGACACTGGCCGTCAACATTGAACTTGATGAAGCAAAAAATCTCTGATTATCATAAAGTAGCTACATTTGTACTTAATTATTTTGGTGTTCACCACCATGAAATAGTTCAAGAATTTAGTGTATATTATTATATATCCAATTTTGAGTTATTATGTACCCAAATTCACTTTTTCTGTTTAAAATAATGCATTTATGAAATTGCTATTAAACATATTTTTAAAAATCATGAAATACACCCATTATCAAACTTTTACTACAATATAAAGCATTTCATATGATATGGGAGATAACTCTTCTGTTTCTCTATATGCACATAGACAAACTATACAAAGAACAATGAAATTCAGGAAAAATAGTATACATTGTACTTCTCTTATTGTCTTTAATATGTTTTAACAAAACATTACAAAATAAAATGCTCCGCAGGGCGCAGCTTGATACGACCGCAGAGGTCGAACCCTGAACAGTTGGGGCAAGTATGGACACAACATTCAAGCTTGATACAGCTTTGCATTTGGATTGTGATTAAATATTTGACACAGCATAGGTTTCTGACACAGAATGAATGTGGTCTAAGAACTTAAAAATTTTAAATTGGACATTCACCTATTATGGTCCAATATCCAAAATCTAAATACATGGTTAGATTCAGCATATCAAAGAACCCCAAGAATTCAATTTTTGATGAAATCAAACAAAGTTTAATTTTGGACCCTTTTGACCTCAATGTGGACAAAGTTGATAATGGGGACCAAAAATCAAAAATCTAAATACATGGTTAAATTCAGCATATCAAAGAACCCCATATATTCAATTTTTGTTGAAATCAAACAAAGTTTAATTTTGGACCCCGATTTAGACCAACTTGAAAACTGGGCCCATAATAAAAAATCTAAATACATGTTTAGATTCAGCATATCAAAGAACCCTAAGAATTCAATTTCTGTTAAAATCAAACTAAGTTTAATTTTGGACCCTTTGGACCTTAATGTAGACCAATTTGAAAACGGAACCAAAAATTAAGAATCTAAATACACGGTTAGATTCGGCATATCAAAGAACTCCAATAATTCAATTTTTGATGAAATCAAACAAAGTTTAATTTTGGACCCTTTGGACCTCAATGTGGACCAATTAAAAAACGGGGCCCAAAATCCAAAAACAAAATACACGGTTAGATTCAGCATATTAAAGAACCCCAAGAATTCAAGAATAAAACCCCATTGAAATTGGTCAAGAAATAAGCAATTTATATGAAGTATCTTCTTTTGCACAATACTGTGCAATTAAATATTTCTTGATATTGTGCAATACTGTACAATTGACAATTTCTTGCTATTGCGCAATATTGTGCTATTGAATATTTCTTGCTATTGCGCAATACTGTGCAATTGAAGATTTCTTGCTATTGCGCAATACTGTGCAATTGAAGATTTCTTGCTATTGTGCAATACTGTGCAATTGAAAATTTCTTGCTATTGCACAATACTTATTATATAATAATTTACACATCCTGTTTGGTGTGTATCTCCTACCATATCATTATTATTTGCTTTTAAATATAAATCAGAAATAACCAACTTAAAATGGAAAATTAAAAAAAAAGGAAAAAAAGGAAAAAAAAAAAATCCCCCCCCCCCAAATTTTTCAAACCCCCTTATGATTCATCACCCCCAAACTCAATCCCAGCCTTCCCTTTGTGGTATGGTACCTTGCAGTACAATTTCAGAGAGATCCATACACTCGAACAAAAGTTATTGTCTGGAAACTAGAAAAATGTGTTTTTTGGCCCCAAATTCCTAAACATTTAGGGCAATTACCCCAAAACTCAAACCCAGCTTTCCCTTTGTGATATGGAACCTTGTAGTACAATTTCAGAAAGATCCATACACTAACACACAAGTTATTGTCCTGAAACTAGAAAAATGCTTGTTTTTTGCCCCTTTTTGGCCCCTAATTCCTAAAATATTGAGGCAATTACCCTTATCACCAATCCCAGCCTTCCCTTTGTGGTATGGTACCTTGCAGTACAATTTCAGAGAGATCCATACACTTGAACACACGTTATTGTCTTGAAACTAAAAAAATGCTTATTTTTGGCCCCTTTTTGGCCCCCAATTCCTAAACGTTTCGGCAATTACCCCCAAACTCAATTCCAGCTTTCCCTTTGTGATATGGAACCTTGTAGTACAATTTCAGAAAGATCCATACACTTACACACAAGTTATTGTCATGAAACTAGAAAAATGCTTGTTTTTTGCCCCTTTTTTGGCCCCTAATTCCTAAAATTTTGGGCAATTACCCCCAAAATCAATCCCAGCATTCCTTTTGTGATATGGAACCTTGTGGTACAATGTCAGAGAGATCCATACACTAACACACAAGTTATGTCTGGAAGTTACAAAAATGCTTATTTTTGGCCCCTAATTCCTTTACTGTTGGTACCATAACCCCCAAAATCAATCCCAACCTTCCTTTTGTGGTATTGAACCTTGTGGTAAAATTTCTTAGAGATCCATTCACTTAAACTAAAGTTAGAGTGCGAAAACCAATGTGTCTTCGGACGACGCAGGACGACGCCGACGACGCAGACGCCAACGTCATACCAATATACGACCACAAAAATTTTTTTGCGGTCGTATAAAAATTACAAAATTTAAAATTGACTGATTTTATGTTTATTTGTTTTGACATGATATGATGTATCTTTTGGAAATGATTAATATACAAGATTAGATTAAAATCAAATGCATGCATTTACAAAAAGCCTGTAAGAATTTAAATAACAAAATAATCATCAAACATTTCCAAATTATAGTGTATAGTTCATTCTTCATGAACAGAATCATTACACACATTTACCAACTCATTTCAGTCCAGCAAAACATGCACTGGCACAGTTTCCTATAAGCTTTTTCATGCTGCCCTGCTTATCTGGAGAAAACTTTTCTGACATTTTCAACCATAACATATAATCATCATGCGTATGTTAAACTGTAGATTTCACAGGACAATAAAGAAAGAGGATGTTTTATCTTTTATTACGGTAGGCAATTGTATCATTTGTATTCATATATATATAAGGAGGTCACTGATGATGGTTACTTGATTTTTCTATAGACCTTCTAGGCAAATCACATTTGTAACCAGAGAGTCGCTGATATTTTTCCCAGAAAAAGTATAACTGCAATGCAACATCAAGCAAGTAGTTGATACTCCTTCACGGTTAAAATAAGGTTTAATTCAATGAGTTCATCACAAAGCCACTATGAAACCAATTACGTATAGTCATTATAACTGAAATCTAAAGGACATTAATGTTTCATGTTTAAGTCATATTATGACTTCTTTGACATGATTTTATCTGATTTCCTTATTCAAGATTGAAGGTCACTTATTGAACCCAAATGTAGACTTAATTAGGTGAATGAAAGGGAAATGCAGGTTAGAGTGACCTTATTCTGATTGAGACTGATACACTCTAGACAATTCTTAACTTGGATGCAACTCAGAAGATGATTTAATAGTTTCTGTCAACTTTTTGAAATCAACTAAAACAAGCGATCATTCAATCCAGACTTTATTTAGCTCACAGATGCCCAGACTGTAAACTTTTCTGGGAAGCTTTTCTAAAATGATGCATTCCCATAAATACGAAGTTACACAATAATGCACATACTGTAATGTATTGCCAGCTTTACTGATCATGATTGATTTTATGTTAAAAGTCTTTAAGATATAGGTTTGAATACAAGTATCACATTAACTTAACATTATCAATGAAGTCAATGTCCAATGAACCCTGCTAGACGGACATGTACATCTTATAATCATTCCACACACCAAATATAGTTGACCTACTGTTTATAGTATCCAAGAAACAGACAAAACTACGAAACTTAACATTGAACAATGAACCATGAAAATTAGGTCAAGGTCAGTTGAAACCTGCAAGACAGACATGAACACCTTACAATCATTCCATGCATCAAATATAATTGATCTATTGTCTATTGTTTCCAAGAAACAGACTACACCAGAAAAACTTAACATTGACTAATGAACAATGAAAATAAGGTCAAGTTCAGACGATGCCTACCAGACAAACATGTACACCTTACAATCAATCCATTCACGAAACATTATAATGTTGACTATTATTATTATAATAGTTGACATATATTGCTTACAATATCTATGAAACAGACTCAACTAGGAAAACTTAACATTGACCAAGAACCATGAAAATGAGGTCACGGTCAGAAGATACCTGCCAGACAAACTTGTACACCTTACAATCAGTCCATGCAACAAATATAGTAGACCTATTGCTTATAGTCTCTAAAAAACAGACTTAACCAGGAAAACATAAAATTTACCAATGGACCCTGCCAGACAGATATATATACCTGACAATCACCGTTTAAACTAAATATAGTTGAACTATTTCTTATAGTGTTTGAGAAACAGACCAAAACACAAAAATTTAAACATTGAACAATGAACCATGAAAATGAGGTCAAGGTCAGATTAAACCTGCCAAACAGACAAGTACACCTTACAATTATTCCAAACAACAAATATAGTTGACCTTCTGCATGTACGTATGTATAGCATTCTGTGACTTCTGCTACTTTGGTCACAGACGAGACAAACACTATTTGTCACTAGGTAGCCAAGAGTTGAATTTGGACATGCAAACTTTTGCGAAATCCATGAGGCATATATAAATGAGGGTTGCTTTACTTCTGGTTAGATGCTGTCATGATTCAAACTTTTTAGACAATTTAATTTTCTTGTACCAAATTAATAATTACAGTAAAAGAATATAGAATTTTATCTGTGTCAATAAACTACAGGACACAGATAGTGGAAACCCCATTTTAAGAAAAAGCAGACTCACTAGCTGAATTCCAATACCAAGTTAGACAAACTTTTGCCTGCTATAGTTCCCATAGCACAAAAATCATATTGATCTTATTCTTAATTTTTTTTTCAGTCTTTTCTGTAATGTTTCCCAAAAAAAATTCTTAGACCCATACTTCATTGGGGCAATATGAGCAAAAAAGTCTGTTACAGGATAATTTTCATATATTAATTTTTTCTAAATTCAATTTTCTATTCTGTCATTTACAAATGCACTAAACATTAAAATTCAATTTGTTAAATCTATTAAAAAGCTTCAATTGTTTTAATTAAGATGTTCAACTACTGTCAGAAAAATGTGCACTGCAATGATTAATACTGCTTGTAGAATGTTACAAAAACAGATGGTGAAGTCAACACTACATAACATTCTCGTGAAACCAGAGTTCCATGTCCACATATTGGTCTAAATCATGAACATCTGGTTTAGTTCTCCTGAAATTCTGCATTGAGGCTCATCAAATTGATATTTTTCACTTAGTTATTAGTTCATGCTTTAATGGAAAAAAAACAATAGCCAGTACATTTACTTAAAGCTTAATACTGTCAGATTTAACTTTATACAATAAATTAAAGAAACATCTTATTTGTTGTTCATTTTAATTGTAAATTTTAAATTCAAATGACCTTTTCAGAAAAATAATAAAGCATTTTTTTTCAGAAAGAGATATAAATTTATCTTCATAAGGAGATAATTCAACAATCACTAAAAATGTTAAAGAATACTGCAAGAGTAACTTTTGTGACTTCTAAATTCACTTAATAAACTTTTAATACTTCAACTTAAGCTGTATGGTGAAGTACACAAAATGTCTTGACTCAGATTTAACAAAAGATAATAAATAGTATGCACAGTATAGTCAGAAACTCTGGGCAACGAGAATGATCACACTAAATTTTTATTCTGATTCATATGAACAGAGCGATTTGAGTGTAAAGTCAAGTTTACAAACACACAGGAATCAAATTGACATACACACATTAGTCTACTTACTGATTCAACTGTGATTAAAATGAAATTATACAAACATTATATTTCAAGAGCCAACACATGCAAAAAAACATGAAAATAAATTCAACAACCCTTTCAACAGTACAGAATTTTTAGGCAAAACAAATTGATTGTGATTTAATGCTGTATACTGCTAGAGATTAATTTTCCATTGTACACAGGTATCACTCATATCCTATGTCTTTTAATGTTTTTAGTATACATTGTTTCTTATCTCAGCATCACCATGGTTGAAACTATAAATAATGTTGTGTCTATTCAGCATTTACTAGAGTATATGATACAGTCTATACTGAAGCCCTTCAGGAATTGAGATTGTCTTTGGAGAAGAAAATTGGTGTACAAAATTGCTACACTACATGTATGATAAAAATCCAATACATGTCCTGAGACACCCACATTCAGTTTAAAGTTCTTTAAACAAATTTCCCTTTCATCCAGAGTTCTGTTTATAAAGGTTTTAATGTTACAAACAGCTGATTCCTGTTGTGAAAGAGAGGGTTATTCAGTATATTCCAACATTAGTTGAAATGAAAATGGTGGAAGCTGAAGGGGGACAACTCTATATCTTATACTTCATTAAATTGGCCTTTAATGGAATGGAGCTACAATTATTTATAGAAAGGTTGTAATACATAACAATCTAACATAAATTAAACAATATCAAGGATTTTAATCGTTAACTCACCCAATGAAAGAGCACTTATATCTACTGAAGTATTAATTTATAATATAACCAATATGAACAAATCTGAAAACCTAGCAGGACACTCTAATTGTCGTCAATATATTATGACTTTTATCAACAGCAAACTTTTAGGTCAGTTCAAAAAGTTTTTGCCCAAGTATTAATTTAGTTCATTTACATTTTCTGCATGCAGACATGTACTTCCAGTTAAAGAAAATCAATGGTAAAGGATACAGGTGTATTTTGAGTTATTTCTTCAGCAGAAAAATATACATTTTTCAGAAATTTTTTATAAGCAAGTATGGCCAGTCTGTTTTCATTCAATTTTGAAAGGAATTTCATTCATTAATTACATTATTTTTTTTCATCTCTGTAAACTGTACTTAAATCTTTGTACCATGAAACTTTTGAAATTAATCATCAAGATTATAGTGATGGACATATGTATATATGTCATAACAGGTTTTTACTCATATGTTCAAACAATGACAGGCACATCAAACAAGTGATGATGTCTATGACTTGGGTCTTCTCTAAAGCAGACACAACATTGATAAAAAAAAATTAAGGAATATATCATATAAACAACTGAATAAGTCTAGTAAAATGATATAATGCAATTCCATGATCTACATGTACCAGAATATCTTCAAGTGTTTATGAATACATTTTGAGGGATAAATGTAAGTATTGAGGCCTTTGCTTGTCTTAGAAATCCTAATCAGTGCAAATTTACAGGCTTCCTTTGCTTTTTAAATGGCAAACAAAATATCATCAAAGGCATGAACAATGGAAATTTTTACCATAAATCAGCTTAACCCCAAAGTTCACCAAATAACCTTTACCAGTTGCCAAAACCAAAAAGTTACACAAACCTGCCCATAAAATACAAGAAAAATGTAAACATAAATTGTACATACGAGGTTCATTGAGTTTTTGCATGATAGGATTGATAACTTCCTCGAGTGCCATTTTCTGTGTTATAAAGTCTTTAGTTGTAGCATCAGTTGTCCTATCTACCCATTCAGCCTTCTCTTTACAGGTATTTGTTATGATGTTCTACAAAAAATCACACTTAAAAGATCTTTGACAACCTGTAAAATCATTTAACTTTTTGCTTTTTATAAAATTACTATCAATATTTATAATGCAAGTATAAATTAGTCAAGAAGTAAGTTCAAAAAGGTTCAATATTGGCCATGACATGTAAGTTCATAAGCATACATATGATGACAAATGTGTAAAAGCATCTTGCAAAAAAAAAAAGGTATCATGATTGCACACATCATTGTTATGGATTTCATTTCACTAACTTTTGGCCTTAAGTTGGCTGGTTTTTGCTTCAGGCAACATTGGCAACATGCATAGATCAATATTAATTTTTATTAGAATGAGCTTTTTGTTACAATATATTTCATATTATTCAGAATCAAAATATGAAAGCCTGTCATTGATGCACCCTTATACTGGTACTAAGAGGATCGTGGAAATGCAACTTTAAGAGCTTGACATATTGTATAGAAACTTGTTTATTGTTGAAGATAATATGTTGAATTATTAATGTCATTTGATCATTTTTGAGTCATTAAGTTGCTGTCTTACTGAGGTATACCCTAAATTTCTTTCTATTAATACTTACACAAATAAACAAAATTTTACTTATTATCACAGAATTTAAACTTAACAATACTTAACAAAGCATGTAAAAACAATAAAAATTGAATCTATTACTTCACACACAAAAAAAATACACCTCCTACATTTTTTTCATCATTTCAATGTTGGTATTTTTTCACAAACAGACATGAATGATTTTGAAAAACTTTTTTTCATCTTACTTTGTCATCTTTGGTTAACCTCCCTTGGACTTTCTCTCCATCTGCCAGAGTTTCTTGTGTTGTTTTAATGAAGTTTTGCAGGTCAACTTTAGCTTCTACAAAAATATCAACATCAATGCTCATGAGAAGGGACAGGTGTAAGAACAGTCAATCTTCATGATAAACACAACATTTGCAGAAAATATCACATTTAACTTGACTGTTCAAAAAATCATTCAAATGCATAAAACAGCAGAAAGGATGCAACTTCATACATGGATGTTATATTTTCTTTACTTATCAATCACACAACATACATATTTTTCAATATATAAAAGATCAAAATTTGACTGATTACTATATCCATATTAAAACAATGACCCATTTTTGATGAAGGTCGGAGGTTATCAATCACAAATCTTTCGGAAAAGGTACATTTGTAGTAGAAATTGTAAGTGTTTTATACTGTTTTCTATCTCAGTAATAATAGTGGACATGCTTGGTTGGTACTCAATGTGTAAAGTCATTAACCACAATTCATAAAAAGCAATAAGCATTGTTTTAGAGATGGATCGAAACTGAATTGTAATGAAATGTTCTGCATGCATGTAGTTAGATGGATGACTACGCAATAAAATTATTTTATTCAATGCATGTATTGGTAATAAGACAGACATGTTTGTTTATTTTAAGCAATTTGCAAACAATGACCCTTACAGGACATTTTAATTTTTTTATCTCAGAATGAATTGTATATACGAACCAGCCCAGTCTAAAAAGTCAACACATTCAGTTTTGTTATATCTGAGGGCTGTTTCTCTTGGTCTTTCTCCATGAATGTTCTTCTGCTGTAAATCTGATAGTGCTTCTACCAAAACTTTCAGTACACCTAACTTTCCCCAGGCAGCTGCATGATGCATAGCACAATAACCTAAAATATAGTGTTAAATTTTATGTTGGTGAAATATTATTAACCTAAAAATGTACAATGTATTGTGTAAGTTTGGTGACATTATCTTGATTTAACCTGCCTATTTTGGATTAATTATTATTCCTTGTTTACAAATTTTCATAGATTTCTTATTTAAAAATAAACCATTATTTTAAGGAAACAACCATTTAACTTCAAAGGAAAAAGGGGGGGCACTGCTTTGCCCTTTTTTTTCAACTACAATCAAACCAAATATCTTCCAGGAATCCTATGATATCACTAGTAAAGAAAGCTGGTATACATTTGTACATGTATGCAATAAATTCATGGATATTCACAAGACAGCAATCCCTTGTATTAAATATCTTTTAAGCATAAGATTTACAAGGGCAGATCAAGGTTCTGAGAAAAGTGGGGGTGTAATTTGTAAAAAAAAAATGGTTAAAATGCAGCCAAGAGTAGAGAAGCAATATTCTTTGGACAATTTTAAGCAAAAAATTATATTTTTGGGATCAAATGGGGGCTATAACCTCTACACCCTCCTGAATCCACCACTGGTTGAGTTGAAATGCATTTATATGTAGGCTACTAGTTTTACAAAAATATCTGCAATGTGAGTAGACATACATTTGGTAGATGTACATTTTGTAGATGTACATTGTGTACATGTACATTTTGTACATGCATTATGTATATTCAAAGGAACAATGCTTTGATTGTTTCTATCCATCTTGATGATTATTAACCACTGAAAGGTCATGCAAGTACATGTACATGAATGGACTGATTAACCAAAGAAAATCTTTTTTAGTTCAAAATAAAGCAAATGAGCATGAACACTGCATGTTCATATTCTCATTAAATGTAAATGAATTGATAGGTTTTGATATGACATTATTTGATTTTGAATTATTTTCTGGGCCACCATTTTTTAGGGATAAATGGTTGATTTTCTATTTGACTAACCAAATTGAAACATGTGATACAACCAAGTCTGATAAGGGAGATCCTTACTAGCTCCTAGTGCTTAATCAAGCAAGGCTATTAAAAGAAATTAGAATTGTTCAGAAACAACATTTTCTAAAATCTAAAGTTTAGTGGTCAGTTTGACAAGTTGAATTTGGCTGATTTATGAAGGAATTTGTGCTCACATCTACATTTACCTTCAACATGATGACAAAATGGAAGTAAGTATTGCTCAAATTGTGCCAATCAAAACATATCTATTGAAAAATTATAAGTTTGTTTGAAAATGAATGAGTACCCCAATTTCCATTTTTGGTTAGATGGGGTAGGTACATGTCGGTGCAAGGCAGGAGCCTTTATAAGTTTCTTACTTGTTCTCAGACTTTTAGACACATAAGATGCCTTGCACCAATTGTTGTCTTGTGAAGATTTACTTCAAGAATAAATTAAAATTGAAAAATAATGTTTTATTGATTCAGAAAGTAAAAATTACAGTCAAACAAGGTTTGTATCTGTTATTGTAAATCGATTATGTATCCTTTGTTGTTTCAATGCCCTATGGAAATTTTATAGAAAATCCATTGCCTTTTCCTGTGTACTCTTATATTTTACAATTATGTACTAAATAGAAAGGGGATTAATGCATGCAGTGCCTGTCCCAAGTCAGGAGCCTGTAATTCAGTGGTTGTCGTTTGTTGATGTATATCATATTTGTTTTTGTTCATTATTTTGTATGTAAATCAGGCCGTTAGTTTTCTCGTTTGAATTGTTTTACAATTGTCATTTCGGGGCCTTTTATAGTTGACTATGCGGTATGGGTTTTACTCATTGTTGAAGGCCGTACAGTGACCTATAGTTGTTTATTTCTGTGTCATTTGGTCTCTTGTGTCAATGTGAAGAGTTGTCTCAGTGGAAATAATACCACCTCTTCTTATTTTTATATAGCAATGATTTCCCTAAAACAAGTTTTGAAATAAAGATATTATTTAAAACAAGTATAAATATGGACCACTTCAAGTACACCTTCTAGGGTGCTCGACTTTAATAACTCAGGGCAAGGTTTTTTGGATTGTAAAGGTTGTTTAGGACTTTTTGTAAACAATAAACGCTAGCACACCATTGATAAACTAGTGATTAATCTAGGTTTCAAAAGTTATAACGAAAGTCTATGAATTAAAATCTGTGGTTTTTCTGCAAATATTTTGGCTTGAGTTGACACAAAATCCACATTTCCTATATATTAAATGCAATTAAACAATAAATTCAATTTCTTTGAACGACTTTTCAATTTGATACATGCATGTATCGTATATGTACAAAATGGTATGTTTCTTTTATTCAGTATATTTGCTGTTTTGATATCATTACACTTTGAAATTTTGTAGTACATGGTGCTACAGAAGGGGTCATAAGTCTTTAGTTGGCCAAAGGAAGAGGGTACAAATGTATGGATGGGGTCCTTCATTTCTGTATTCTCTACTTTTTTAGGCTATTTTTCTCTATTTTATATAATTTTTGCTCATTATTCTCTATTCATTATATTTTAGCACCCCATTATTTTCTATCTGTATGTTTTGGTCCATTTTTCTCTATTCATTATATTTTTAGCCCATGATTCTATTCTCTTTTCTGTAAACCCCATCCAGACCCTCATGGAATTTTGAAAGTTCTGCCTTTGCCCTAGATTAGTATTTAAAGTATTTCAATAAAAAAAACGTTGAACCAGAATGCAAGATTAGCACCCAGTATTGCTTGTATATGTACATGTAGTAAGTAGTACCTTGACAGTTAACTGCCAAAACATCTGCCCCTCGCTGAATCAATTCCCTCGAAATATCACCACGCCCTAAAGTTGCTGCAAGATCAAGAGGCGATTTTCCATCTTCTCCACGTTGATTTATCAACTCAGCAACGGTGTCTTTGTAAGCATCCTCATCATCTTCAAAACACCTCACAAATCTTTGTGAATCATTTTTCAAAATACAGTGTGTAACGATTGTGGTGTTTGGAAGCAGAATTTCGACTTCTTTTTCCTCTTGTTCTCCGTCAGGTGTCATCTTTTTTCTTCTTCTGCCACTTTTACATCCGCCACACTTGGCTGATTTTGTTGTCTGCTTTTTCCGGTTTTCCCTACAGAAATGTAAACAATTTCACGTTGATATGGAAATGGATCTCTATCTAATAGATGTTTGACTTTAACCAATACACTCGTGAAAGCAAACACCACACCACACCACTGTGTTAGGGTTAACAATTTTAAATGTTACATGTTTAGGCGGTTAGTAAGAATATATCAATATACTATGCGTTATCTGTGTTAATTTTAACAATCGACCCTACATATTTTTCTGAAAAGCGTCAAGGTAAACAACACAAAATAAAACGCTCAGATGATTTCTATATTATGAAAACAGTGATTGTAAAATATAAAACCGTTACCGGTCACCAGGTGCTTGAACTCCCGACTATCGAAAATAATGATAATAAAAATACTACTACTACATGTACAATTAATATTTTATTGCAGACCTGCCAACTATCCCGATTTATGGGGATATCCCCCATGGGAGTGTTGGCCTGACTATTTAAATCCTTTATTATATGATGAACTTTTAAAAAAAATACCTCAAAATAGTTATTCGAATGTGTTTGATGGCATTTAAGTACATATATACTTCTCAGAAATCATAGTATATCTGATTAAATATACTTTAGACATGTATAAAACATGAACTAGGTCCACTCAGTGTGCTTAAACTTCCCCCATGAAGGGTTTGAAAAGTTGGCAGGTATATGTTATTGTCATAAAACACTTTTTGATTAGGTTCGTGACGAAAATTCAAATTCAGAAAATACAATAAAATAATATTATATCAAACATACAAAAAAGTGAAATTAACAATGTTTTTAGTTTAAAAAGTTCTTTAGATGTTTTAGACTATCAAATTACGTGTTTTTGATGGTCCTTTTTATTTTGTGACACTGAGTTTTGACTTTTCAACTCTTTACACTACACATCCACACAATCAAACTAAACTGTTCCTATTATGAAATGGTCGTTTGAAAAATCTGATTTGAAATTATTTGCTGCAACTCATATAAATCATTCTTCTCTAAGAAAGGTAAATATGCTAGATACACTTACTGGAGGTGAGATGAGATGAAGCTGTAAATTTTCTCCTTGACAACATTTAATGTACGTTTCGGCAATAAAGGTTATCGACAGGTTGTAGGTATTCCTATTAGCACCAAGTACACCCCTTTAGGGGACCTTTAATAGCAGAGTTGTTCCTGTATTGTTATGAATCACACTTTATGGCAAAACCTAGTAAAGACCCGTCTAAATTCCATTTAATTGATAAATTGAACAACGCTAACCGTTTTCTTAATTATTGATGATATTGTTTCGTTAAATAATCAAAATTTATCTTAATATAAAGCTAAACTTTACCCAAAGGAAATCAAATATAAACGGCAATAGCTATCCTTTCCTATATTTAGATATTTCAGTTTTACACGGGAAACTCCGGTGATGTTCCTTTGATACCATCTTACGGTGTTTACATATCCCAACTCGTCGCTATTCCCGTGTCTGTAGTGACGATTTTAGATTTCAATGAACGTAATTTATGCATTACTGGCAAATTATTAAGTCACAGATTTCGTTACCACAAATTACTTTAAATCTTTACTAAATTCTTTCATAAGCGCACAGATTTGGTTTGGATGTTTGGTTGTACCCGTAGAAAACTTATTACAAACAGAATAGCACATCATATTTTTTATACGGTGATGTTGTTTACCGAGGCCGTAAATTTGGATACGACCCGTGTAAACTTGTCGATCCTTTAAATAAACTTTTTCTAAAAGCTTTTCAATTCAACACTAATAACATCTTGTAATATTGCTTTATCGGTATACATATTGATTTTGTTATCAATAAATCAAACCCCAACTAAATATCATTGTTATCATGTACACACATATGTACATTCGCGGTCCTACAATCTGACGATACCTTTATTTTTGGCATTGCACAAGGTCATATTTTTCAGTTAATGACCTCTTTACACCAAATCCATTGGAAGTGTACAATTGATTGATATTTTAGTCTTTAGATACATGTTTTTTTTTTATTAATTGTTATTGGGTTTTACCTAGCTTTCAGTAACTGCGAGTTATATCAGATCTGTACGTTACATGTCTTTTGTGTTTTTGTTAGTTATTTGCGTTTTGTATCGATCTGGTGAGTTCAACCCTTCTCAACTGATTTTTGCAAAAGCGAGACATAGCGATCCTACATTCCGTCGTCGTCGTCGTCATCGGCGGCGGCGGCGGCCAAAAATATTCACTCTGTGGTTAAAGTTTTTGAAATTTTAATAACTTTCTTAAACTATCCTGGATTTCTACCAAACTTGGACAGAAGCTTGTTTATGATCATAAGATAGTATCCAGAAGTAAATTATGTAAAAACAAAATCCTGTTTATCGTATTTTACTTATAAATGAACTTAGTTTTTCTGCCAGTTAACATTACCTTCACTCTGTGGTTAAAGTTTTTAAAATTTTAATAACTTTCTTAAAATATCCTTGATTTCTACCAAACTGGGACAGAACCTTTTTTATGATCAAAAGCTAGTATCTAAAAGGAAATTTTGTAAAAATTTATTTCCTGTTTTTCCGTATATTACTTATAAATGTACTTAGTTTTTCTTCCAGTTAACATTACATACAGTGTGCAGTTAAAGTTTTTAAAACATTTATTAGATTCATAAACCATCCTTGATTTTTAACCAAACTTGGACAGAAGCTTCTTACAATCAAAAGATAGTATATAGAGGAAAATGTAAAAATTATCTTCTTTATCATTTGTTCATTCAATAAATTTATGTTTCAACTCTTTTATAAATCTATAGATTGATTGCATTTTACAAGCATAACTTTTTTCATACATTTCAAACGTTTTATTTCATTAACTGTATAAATCTATTATGTGCATTCCCCTACCACACTGAAGACATAAACAGCAAAAGTAGGCGAGACACTGGGTTCCGGGGAACCCTTACGAATTTTTATAGTTGTTTTGTATGTTGTACTGTTACACCACTGTCCCAGGTTAGGGGAGGATTTGGCACCATAAACTATGTTTAACCCCGCCACATTATGTATGTGCCTTTCCCAAGTCAGGAGCCTGTAATCCAGTGGTTGTCGTTTGTTGCTTTAAATCATATTTGTTTTTCGTTTATTGTTTTGTTCATAAATCATGCCGTTAGATTTCGAGTTTGAACTGTTTTACATTTGTCATTTCGGGGCTTCTTATATTTTGATATGTGGTATGGGTTTTGCTCTTGTTAAAGGCCGTTGAGTTACCTATAGTTGCTAACTTCTACGTCATTTAGTCTCCGGTGGAGTGTTGTTTCAGTGGTAATCATACCACATCTTCTATATTTTTAAATAGAAAGCTGAAGAACAATGTATCTTACTGTGACTTGACTGTTAGTGTTGCTCTCCACCTATTACAGTTTATTAGAAATTCTGAACAAATTGCAATTTCATTTATCAAATCAAACTGTTCAACTGATCAGAAATTCTAAAAAAAACTGCTGTAGAAAACCACAGTCAAGTCATGAAAGTGCAAGGTGATACAATAAAGCATATAGACTTCAATTCCACTTAATTGATATTATGAAAATGTTTTTGAAATTTCTATACATACTTTTATTGTAATTGTCATTTGAAAGGTGATAGGTAGTAATTTTCAAATTGCTTTAAAAATGTCCAATCTTATTAAAATATAGTTCTCCGATTTCGTTATACTCATATATACGAGCACGCGAGTTAATATTGATCAGAATTTTAGTCAGATTGTAAAAATGTCCAAACTAAGCTTTCATACAATTTTTCTTTTATAAAATCTTCTAAATTCATACGAATAAGACATCAGTTTGAATTAAGTCATGTTATATTCAGTAAAATGTATGTGACATTACAATACATTGGTAATAAGTTTCTATGGGAGATAATCTAAAATCATTGATCTTTTGAAATATTGATCTTATCTCCCTTTAAAACTTCAAGAAAACATATTCAATCTTAAAGTATATTTCACGAAGTATTTTAGAGAATAATTTAAAGAGATCTTTGTAGCATGCATAGAAAAACACCATTTGAGAAGAAATAATTCAAAAACTTAAATTTGGACATTTTTTTAAGCAAATCAACAATTACTACCTTTCACCTTTGGAATGACAATTACTATAATAATAAAAGTATGAATATAAATTCTTATAAATATTTGCCTACCGTGCGAAGGCTTAACAGCCAGTCAAGGTCGTTAAATACCCCCTAGTAGTATATATATACAATATATGTACATTGTCGGAAAATATAAAATTTATTTGTATGAGCTTCAGAAACAGGACGAAAAGCGAGGCTCGCCGAGTACAAATAAATTTTATATTTTCCGACAATGTACATATATTGTTTTTATCCTGAAATTTACACCCAACATTTGAAACTTTAGTTGTTAAAATCTAAATCATTGTCTCTATTTTTTCAAAGAAATCGACATAGTTTAAACGCGGACCGCGAAGAGGACCCCAAAATGAACTGGTACGCAAAAAGAAATATCCACATTACCGCTTGCTCAACATGGAAGAGGGGTAACAGGAGTACAAATAAAGCAAACATTTATTTGTGTATCTGTTATTTGTACAATAGTTGGCTGATTGCAGGATAAAAATATTTTGATTACAACAATGAAGTTAAAGTCTTATAGGATTGTAAGTATTCGTTATATGATCTCCTTGCACTTTCACGACTTGACTGTGGGTCTTCAACAGCAATTAGTTGAAATTTCTGATCAGTTAAATAATTTCATATGATAAAAAAAAAAATTGCAATTTGGTCCGAAATTTGAATTAACTGCAATAGGTGGAGAGCAACACTTACAGTCACAGTAAAACGCATCAACGGTATGGAATGGTCAAAGGAAAGATGATACCAAATTAGTAGTAGGGTGCGATCAGTTTTATGCAAGTTAGGCATTAGGCGTTCACAAATATGGTCTGGATTCCATATATGATCATGTCCCCCCTCCCTCTCCCTTCAACGGAAGTCTATACATGGATCCTCGTATGAATCATTCCGGAAGTAGACTCTATATTTTGTCATATATACCGCACCAAAACGAGTCACTACAAGACCTTATTTGGTCGTGCAGTGTCTACCTTGCGTCAGATGATTCACTCCAGGACGTGTTCCGTCCCCATATAGTCATGCAGTGTAACTTTTACGAATCACACAGGGATCTGATCTCATCCCATTCCCCTCACCCCTTTCATCAGAAGAGAAACCCAGACATCCCGAAAACAGGATGGGA